TTTTTTCGTCATTGTGTTGCAGAAGCAATTGGCTTTCATTCATCTCTACATCCTGGAACTGTGAGTTAACATCAGTGAAAACTTCTTCTGGCAAACCCTTATTTTAGTGAAGTTAATCATTGTATTTTTCTCTGCTTTGATTCTTGTAATAATTTTGAGAGATATTATAGCCAGGAGCTGAAACTTGATATTTTGGTGTATGTGTATTTCATTTCCATTACTATTGTTCTGTCTACCCAATTCTAGCAGTTAAAGACCCCCCTGTACAGTGTGAGTTCTGTGTATGTCTCGACATCAATAAGCAGGCCTTACACTGTGACATTCTGACATATGTCACAACGAGGGTAATCCAAACTAATATAATGTTGTGCTCTATCAATGGAAAATGAATAAACCGCTTTGTTGTGATAAGAAAATATTTTTTTTTGAATAATTAATATCACTACGACAAATGTTTACATATCATCTACAATTTACTGCACGTCAAAACAATAGTCACAGTAGATGTCATGACCATTAATAATACAACATCTCCACTTCCCCTATCGATATACACATAACCGAATATCTTTGTTTTAATTCTGACATCAAATTGATCAATTAAATGAGTACTACTTATTCTACTTTATCAACGATTGGAAGTGTAATATATATCAACATTACATTCATATCGAGTTGTGGTAAATTCACGCATTCTACATATTTCACTATCTGAATGAGAAAACAACAAACATAATTTTCTACTGAAAATGCAAAAATGTAAATTTGAAAGAAAAAAACAAACGAAATCGCTGTGAGTTTTTCGTGTGTTATTCTACATTTATTTAATAAAATTAGTGGCATCCATTTCACTTTCTTGGCTGTACTAAATTAAATCATCAAAAAAAAAACATTTATTTACTGAGCAGTCTTACAGCCACATGAAAGTTTTATCTAAAGTAACATAATTTTTTAATTCGTGCAAATTCAGCCTAAAACACCAGACTTTAAATGTTTTTTTCAAGTGCATGAAAGTAAATAAAATACTTAAATAAATGCTTCTAAATGGTTTCATTTTAAATTACTTCCGAAACAGAATAAATACAATATTTCAATCTAAACCACCTGACTGTCAACGTATTAAATGTGTTTATTCAAACGGCATGTACAAAACATTATAAGAATAACTAAAACACTTTTCTACAAAAAAATTGTACTTCTGAAAGCAAACATACATACAATGTTTCTAAACTAAAAATTATTCATAAAGTGTTTATATACAGGGCACTTGTGTATACAGGCTATGGTACGCATGGATAATATTAACAATGATTATTATCAACTGTATACAGCATATATATTATAAATTTTAAAATAACAATTCCCACACTTTACTATTATCAGCAGACAAAGTGTGAACGTATTTCACAAATTTTATAATAACAATAACAAATGTTATATATTCTTGCATTTACAAATTCGCATAGCATGTAGTTGTCAAGATCAGTAACAGTAGAAATTCCGCTTGCACGGAGTTCAATATGTCTACGCGTCAGTCGCTTTCTATGCATCAAAATATGAAATTTTAACTTGATTTTGTGATTCGTTTATTATATTTTATAATTAGTGTGTAAATTGCAAAGTGATCGAGCATTCCATGTATATTTGATAGATATAAATATGTGTCACATAAAATAATCATGTTTAAAAAAATGTGTCACTGATTACAAATACTTTCCAGGATTTAGATCGATTTGTGTTAGTAAACACTTAAGAAAATAGAAAAAAATGTCCCGATTAAGATACTTTATATTGTTTACCCACTTCATAACAAACTGATGTAACAAAACAAGTGTATTACATGCGAGAAATGTATACTCTTCACAATTCTATTTCAATAATGCACTAATGCCTAGACACTCAAAACATTATGCAAATGTACCAACTTGATAGCTCTATGTACAAGAAATCTGCAAATAGGAATTGAGTTTTGTATTAATGTAACACCCGGTTCAGACGGGTAAATGTGACATCGCCTCTCCAAAGATTTAAGCAGAATGTTGTTGCATTGTCCTTCAGAATAGGTCGAGCTACTTTATCTTGGACTCTTTTGGGACCATCCTTTTTAATGCATTTCTCAAATACTTCGCTTTGAAGTTTACGAAATTCACGAAGATTGTGTTCGAAACACAAACCGTACTTTTGTATATCTTTTAACAACACCTTTTCAAAATATTGGTACAGATCTAAATCAGATTTGTTCCACTTCAATATTTTTTCTTTCACAGTCGGTGTTATTTGTTGTCGTCGATTTTCACCTCGTATTCCATTTGGTATGTACAATATATCATCAACAGTCCAGCACAGAAGATCACGTAATAGGAGTAATGATTCATCAAAGTATTCGGTTAGTAATATCAGATCCATCTCTTTGTTCAGTGATTGTATCTTTTGTTTTACTACGACCTCATCTAGTGTCTGGTTTAAGTTCAAACCAAGGTCATAGAGTTGACAGTTCCTAGTAAGCTGACGATGTCTGATGTGTTTTATATATTTTTGTGGGTTATCCAAAAATGTGGCTAATGGATCTTTAGTCCGAATTTCTTTGCCCCAATTAAAAAAACCGAACGCTGATTCGAACTGCTTAACTGGATGGCGTAAAATTGTTATGTATGTAGCATTTGGTATCAATGCTTCCAGTTCAGGACGATTGTACTTTGCGTGATTTGTAAACATATCAAAACTTTTAATAATGTCGATATTCCAAACCATGCGTCTATTGAAAAGAATATCATATGGAAATCCATGTGATTTTGTAGGCACTGCCATGGTTAGATTTCTTGTATAACCATAGCGTTCGAGAATAGAGGCAAGGGTGGTACTTGCTGTTTTGTGAGTTTTTATATAAACTATTTTGTCCTTGGCATTGCATTTTGGTGTTTCATAAAAACGCTTTATACATTGGTCAGCTGAAGGAGATGGTTCATCACGTTTGACATCAGTATTTTCTATTCTCCTGCAATTTAATAGATAAAATTGTATTCTTAATTGTTGAAATTACCTTAGAATTGTCTTTTTTGTACAATCATGCTTTGGATTCCTTAGAAATATAAAATCGTTTCACGTATTGAGGGAATTCATGATATGTTGCGTGATAGTCGATATTAGCATTTAATAATGTCTCGAGATAAGGTATTAATAAAACGCAAAATAGCAACACTGTTTACATTACTTGTGCATAGATTACAGTAAGTTACCATTCTTAATTAAAACAAAGAAAACAAATCATCAAAATATTAAATTCCTCACCGATTGTTGAAAGGTGAATACATTCGCGAGAGCAGTAAGGTATCAATCGATGAATACGAATATATAACCACGGTAGCTACGCAACCACAAATCAGCAAAATGCAAAACAGTTTCGGAATAGAAATATGTACCATAATGAGGTTTATAATCGTCCCCGAAATTATAAAATATGTATCAACATGCAACCTGTTGAGAAAAAAAAAGTTTCTTAATATACTAAAAAAATGTATACGCAAACATACTAAAAACACGACATGTGGCAAAGACTAGATAGAATTGAATCTAGTTTATGTAATGTCGATGTATAGGTAAATGAAGTAAGAATATTAAAGGAAGAAAATGTATGAGTATGAATGGCGCAATAAGTAAATTACAAAGTCGGACGGCTATTATTGAAAACTTAAGTCAAAACAGATGGTGAGTGTAGAAGGATTTAACGCGTTAAAAAAAGTGTGCTAATTTGTTTAACAGAACTCGAAGAAATAACTTGGTAATTTATAATATACCGGAAGGTACTGAGGGCAAAGGAGATGGTGGTTATTGCACAGAATTTGTGAAAACGTGTATTCGTGATAACACAGGTTAGAACGTAACTATTGGGAGTGCACACCGTACTCCTATAAAATCGTGGACAATGACGCGTCGCCCAAGACCTATATACATGTTATTTCTCTGCAACTCAGAAAAGGACTGTATACTTAGTAACGCGGCAAGGCATTTCATATTTATTGAACAGGATTTTAATGACGAATTCTTGGATGGAAGAAAGAAGACTGAAATAACCGAGATTTAACGGGCTCCGTGCAAGTGGGAAGCGTGTGTTTTGGAAGTATCCAGCAACTATAGCATGGTTTCATGAAGATGGAAATATGAAAGTGATATAAAAGAAATAATTGAATGGTTCTTGTTGGAAAACAGATCAACCGCTGAAGTAGAACATTATTAGTGACATTGAGATTTGGATCAGTTCTAAGTATATTTCTCACGCAGCTTTTAAACAAGAGAAAGGGATTGCAGGGAAAAGGACTGGAGGAGGAAATAAAGGCATTATCCAATCATATGAACAGATGTACTAGTACTTGAAATAATGGAGAATATTAGAGCATATACAATTAAGGGGACTAATCTAAGGGCCAAAAATTCAGTGGATTGAAGATGGTGAAAAAAGCAGCAAAATTGTTTTTGGTTTGGAGAAGCGAAATTACAATTCTAAGTTATTACCAAATATTGTGGTTGATGGACAAAAAAAGATATATTGGAAGAACAGGGTAATTTTTATTTGAATATTTACTGCAACAAAATGCTTCGGACGTATCGTTTGACGCTTTGGCGAAACTCCCCCTGCCCATGCTAACAGATCAAAATAAAACACTGTTAGATGGTTCCATTCGGCTCAACGAGTGTGCCAAAATATTGAAAAAACTTTGATAATGGTAAGTCACCAGGAACGGATGGCATACCCTGTGAATTCTATAAAATGTTTTTGAATAAATTCCCCAATCCTTATACGGGTATATACACTTATATTTAAGGGGAAATATCTAATTTTGCAGAAACAAGGTCTTATAATTACTATCCCGAGAAAGGGAAAGGATAACAGATTGTTATCCATCGTGGGGAAGGTGTAACAAATTGGATTAAAACTTGTTACAAGAATAGTTGCAGTTAAGTACTAAACAATGATTTTTCTTCCATGTGGTTCAAGCTCAGTATGGGGGTCCGCCAGGGGGTCCAATATCATCATATCTATGTATCTATCTATTCTTTTGTGTGTCGAGGTATTAGCTACTGCTGTGAAAAATGAAAAAAAAAATATAAAAGGGCTGGGCACGATGAAAGGTTCCCCCAAAATCTTGTGTGAAGAAGTGGAAATTAACTGGATCAGTGGGACATTTAATATTTTAGGGATAATCTTTTCTACTGACACATATATCCGACATGTTCGACCTGAACATTTCTCCAATTCTAGAAGAAGTTAAAGTAATACTTACTATGTGGAAAATGAGGGGCCTCACAGTAATAGAAAAAAATTCTTATTACTAAAAGCCTTGTTTTATGGAATTTAAATTATCTATTATCAGTTCTTCCTAATCTTCCCAATTAAATGCTCTTTAGCATTAATACTAGAAATAATTTTAAGAATCATTTCTGGATTGGTACACAGCAGTTTTTGACTGCAAGAATGGCATTAGTGAACTATTTTTGGAATGATGTTATCTCATCATGGCTAAAGTATATTTCACTATACATAAATACTACAGTGTATTACATGCAACAACTCATGTGGTGTTTCAATTTAAGGTGCTTCATAGTTTTATTGCTACAGGTAATTGGCAACATGTAAGAGGATTAGTCGTCACTATGTAACTGGTGCAGTTCAGATATTGAAAGCATGGAACATTATTTTTAGTTTTGTTAATATGCACAAAACCTGTGGGGAGAAATTAATATTTTAAC